GTGGTTCAATCCTGGGTACAAAAAAAAAAAAAAAAAAGGTGGGGAGACACATATGAAGGGGCTGAGGGATGTGGCTCAGTATTACAGCCCAACCTGGATTCAATCCCTAACACCATCCATAACAATTACATGAGAGGCAAATGCCCAGTCTATACAATCTAACATAATATCTATAGAACGATGATTTTAAAAAAAGGCTGGCAGGGAAATAGTAGTAAATGAAAAATTACAACAAAGGCAAGTTAAAATGCCTACACTTTTATAGTAATAATCAGAAATCAAGGTACTCACTTTGGGCATGTAAAATATAAAATAACAGAAAACTTTTTAGTGGTTGTGTTGCCAAGAAGCAGTAGGATATAATAAAGAACAGAAGCCAAACCCATCCCCTAGTAATTACCAAGTCATTAAAAGGTCTTTGTTTTTACCCACTTGGTAACAATATAGGAACATGTCTGGCATGGTGTGAAAAAAGAAGTTTGAACTAATGTACTTTAACCTCAACATGCTTAATTCTTTAACATTGTAAAGTTATTACATTAAATTTAAGGTGGATATAGGTCCTAACCACTGTGTTGCCAGGGCATGATTATTCACAGCATGCCCGTTCACATAATAAATTATGTGGTCACACTAAGAAGAGTATATTATTTAGGATTAAAGKTAAACAACTTCTTAATGCAGTTGCTATAGATGTGTCTAAGCTAAGCTAGGTCACAAAAACAAAATTAATAAATCTGAGAAATCCTTAGGAATGACACACAGCATGACACTCTTTTCAAGGTCATTCTAACTGGAAAAATTAATCTTCCTTAAACAGCAATCAGCCAAGCCTGGTGGCCTACATCTTTAATCCCACTGACTTTGGGGCTGAAGCAAACAGAGGACTGTAAATTTGAGGTTAATTGGCAATATACTGAGACCCTGCCTCAAAAACAAAAAAAWTTTCAAAAGGGAAGGTAGCTCAATGGTAGAGGGCTTGCCTGTCCAGCATAAGGGCCTACATTCAATCCCTAGTACCACAAAACCAAACCAAACAACTAACCAAGAATTAGCTTTGCAGAAATCTTTAGAAAACACTGAAATTTATACTTAAAACCACAAGTAGACTATCTTACAACAAATTCTACCTTTTTCTGTGCCAGTGAAGGATGGGCAAATTTATCTGTTTAGCTTTCATTTGTGACTTTCATTTTTGATAACTGACTGTGGTAATGGTATGTTACTTGAAGTATAGTAYCAGGTTCTAAATGGTCCCTAAAAACATAAAATTTGTGAAATAGGTTTGGGACTCAAGACCTTGTGAAGTAAAATTCAGATTCTATCTCAATCTGTACAAGTGAACTGTTAGTGAAGAGAAAGCTCTTTTCCTTTGCATGGCAGTTTGAAATGATATATTTGAAAAATCATTTGACTAACAATCATATCCTTTTAGATCAAATCTCCTAGCTCCTATGCTCTAAATGCACTCTCAATATGTACCACTATGCTAGGCACATGGCTTTATGTAAGCTATAGTTATTGAAGGAAAAAGCTTTTTTCTACGTGACTTATTTTCCCTTTTTCATACATACCAATGTTATTTAAGTAATTCCCTTCTCTGTAGGTTACTTCTTACCTAGTTTACTGTTTACTGGGTGGTGGTGCTGGGATCAAACCTAGGACCTTGTACATGCTAAGCAAGTATTCTTCCCTGAGCTATATCCCCAGACCTTACCTGCTATTTTGCAGCGAAAATAATAGCACACACAACCAACTTCTGCTTGGTGCTCAGAAATATAACTTCATATCATTTACGCTAGTTATAAAGGTTAACTGGCCTTTGACAAAAGTTCAGCAATATTCAAAGTCATATATGCCAGTGAGAAAACTTCTAGTTACAAATAAAAACTTGCTGAGGGCCACTGCCAAGTAGGAATGACACATCGAAATTTCCTTGCCAGCGTACCCCATGTTGCTTAGAGGAAGGACTCGTGGAAATGGACTTGCCTTGGACATTCGCTGTGACATTGCATGTATGTTTGAGAAAGGTGACCCTGCTCAAGGACCAGGGTGGATCCAGGTTTAGGGTGTATCCTGCATTTTTTAGGAAGTATCCCACTCCTTGG